GCGGGCAGCGGATAGCGAGAGGAGCTCCGATCGCTTCCCCCCCTCGAGTTCCTCGCCGGCCACAATGCCAGGCGATGGCAGCGTTTCTTTAAGGAGCCCCTCCCAGGCTCCACTCCACTCACTCAGCGTTTTTTCCTCCTCTCCCCTCCTCTGTCTGAGGCACCGCCGCAGCCAGACGGCCCGGGAGAGGCGGAGGCAGCGGGCGGAGGGCGGGGGCGCGCCGGGCGCCGGCCGCTGTCAGCCCCGCGCCGCCGCCGCCGCCGTCGCCGCGCGCTCCCATTGGCCGCGGGCTGCGGGGGGGGGAGGGAGCGCGGGGAGGGGCGGCGTCGGGCCCGCGCCGCTCTTTGTTGTCGCGCGGAACAATGCCGGGCCGCAGCCCGCCCCGCAGCAGCCAGGCCTGCCTCGGCAGCGCGCTGATCGCGGCCGGTTTATTCCGTCCTCCCCTTTTTTTTTTTTTTTCCCCTTTTTTTCGACTGAGGGGGGTGTGTCGACTCGCAGCGCTTTGTCTCCCAGTTAAGGAGCAGTGCCCGAACGGCCGCCCGGGAAGGAGGCAGCGCCCCGGCCACACCGCCGCCACAGCGCGGCCGCACCGCGCCTGCGCGCCCCTCCCCCCCGCCATGCGCACTGCGGGCCCGGCGCCCTCAGCGGAGCGGGGTCCCGCGCGCCCCGTTGTGGGGCTCCCCTGAGGGAAGCGAGGTGCCGCCGCGAGGGCGCGGGGCCGCCCCTGAGGGCTGTGCGGGAGCCGCGCGCTCCCCTCGGGCGCGGGCAGGCGAAGGCGCGGTGCCGGGGGGCGTGGCGGCCTCGAGCCCCGCTTCGCCGCTCCGCGGGGCTTCGCTGCGGCGCTCAGCGGGGCGGCGGTACGGCGGTGTGCCCGCCGACCTCCTCGAGGAGCCGGCGCGCCGGCGCTGCTCGGTGCTGCACCGGTGGCAAACGCTGCGCCCGGCCCCGCGGCTTCCAAAGAGGGAGGGCGGAGAAGAACGCACCGCGCCGAGCCGCTCGGCGCAATGTCAGCAGCCGGCAGACAACAAAGCACCCGCCGGGCCCTGCGCACCCACACCTCCGCCCCGCTCCCGCTGCCCCACCCCCGGCGGGCAGAGCAGCTCTTAACGCAGGTTCCCTGACACAAAAACCTTCCCGTGCGCTGCCGGAGGGGCGTTGCGGCCACCGACCTCGTAAAAACACCGCCCTCACGTGTTGGTTTCCAGGTTTTCTCCAATGACTACCGCTAAAAAGTCCGCGTTCTCTGCGCCCTTGCCAACTATGACGGGCAGAAGTCTTCCTGCAGAGAAAACCAAACACCAAGTAACTGTTTTACTGTATCCAGGTGGATGGGGACAGGAGTTTACAAGTCCCCCCAGAGCTGCCGGGCAGCTGCCCCACAAACAACTAACGAGATGCAGGTACTCGTTTACATGCAGTGTTTATTGCCAATGACTGCTACTTCCTCAGGATGTTTGCATGCTTTGTAACAAAGTCCCAGCAGATTGTTTTCCATCAAGGGCATTTACTCTGGGGGTGTCCTTTCCCAAGTGCTGAGGTCGTCCCCTCTGCTGAGGAAATTCTGTAGTTTCATATTTTAAAGATTTCCTACTTTGCACATTTACACTTCCAGCAGCGATGGTGTCTGTGTGGGAGAATGATCTATTACTTACAAAGGCTCAAGGAGCCTGAGACATGTTACTATTCTGAGCACTGAACATCTTTTTAAAACAAAAAGCAGATGGACATAACCTTCAACAGCAATAGAGATAATGCGCCTTATTATTAAATAAAAATGATAACTCTGCTTCTCTGGAGTCCTTTTAACTCTGGGAACCCAGAATCTGACAGAAGATATCTGTACCCATTTAGCAGACGGAGCAGGACAGGGCAGAAGTGAGGAGACTGTACCCTTGAGGCAAAGGCACGTCAATATAAAGGATTGCTCTTGTTGACGTCTAAGACACCAAAATGCAAAGATATGAGCAGAGCGGCTGGGACATACTTGGATTTTACCGTTCCTTGTTTTGTTTTGTTCTCCTTTCTTCTCCCCCGCTTCCCCTCACATCTAAACCTGTGACTGGGTTTCTGTCCCAGTTCCCCACACAGACCATCCACAGTCTGACTGATGAGCAAAAGGAAAACAAGTTACCCTCACATTTATGTTCCTCTCCAAAGAAAATGTTATTCTCAAGCAAGATCCATACAGAACTAGCTTTATATTTTAATGTTAAGCTGGAAGCACTAATTAAAAATATCTGAAATAAAACTTAGTCCCTTCTATAGAAGAAGCTTTTTGGGAAGGAAGAAGCAGACCAGCAGACTAAGAGTGCACTGGTATTTTAAGCCTACTAGGAACCCTGTGTCCAGCATCTTGAAGGCTATTGCTTTTCTTCCTAACCGTTTTTGAAAACATTCGAGAGCGAACTACATGAAATAAGAACAATAGCACAGTTAGGCTGCTGTACATTAAAACATGCACACAGCAAGTGCATGGTGCCCTGGGAATACAGTCTATGCACTAGCATGCTCAGGTGGCAACAAGCAATGCCCACAAGACTCATGTGAATGTACTTACTCCATAGAAGTAATTCTTCAGAATAATTTAGATCAGATCTAAATTAAAGAGTATCTGTCTATAATCCTTTTCATTCCATACAACCTTGAACAATATGCAGAATTAAAGTAAAGTCCATCTCTGGGGGAGAGACCAACCAGCTACCAATTAACAGCAAGTTAACAAAAGCAGGAAGGGAGGATATATTACAGGCAAATACAGGACTTATTGCAGGAGGAGTGTAACTCAGTCCTTTAAGTTTCTCTCTTTTATCATTTCCCATTTGTGACAGAGGTAATAAAACTTCCTTCCTCCAACCTTTATTTAATTAAAGTGTAAGGTCTTTGGGGCAGTGAGCTTACTGTATGTGTACACAGTACTCTGAGCATGAAGAGGTCATGAATTAATCCCAGGCCTTTAGATGCTACTCTAAATACAAAGCATTAACAATAATAAGAGGATGTCATTTTCATTTAGAATAAACGGGACCTGCATTTTTGATGCATCTTCACAAAGAATAAATCACACACATCTCAGGGATGACTGAATTAAGGGACAAGGAAATCTCTTCATACCAGAGATTTGCCGCTCTACTCTATCCCACGTCCCTACCCCAAAGGACACTCCTGCATACTGTTACACCACTTACTGTGAAGTTCTTATTTACCATAATCTTGCAAAATAACGCCCCAAATCCCACAGGCCAGATTATCAATCAGATTAGGAGTACAGTTGTTTTTGGTTTTTTTTTTTTCCCCAAGACAGTGCACGTGATTACTGTGATAACACACCCAAATTAAACTCTTGCCTCTGCAACAAGCAGCAATTAGCAATCTGCAGACAACTGACAAGTTCCTTCGTTTCCTGTAATACTTAACAATACAGAAGCCAGATTTCCTATTGAATCCCATATTAACCTACATTCAATAGCCATGAAATCTCAGAGCGCCATGTCAGAATTTGTCATCTTTGATGATGCTAGCTCAGCCCCTTCACACTTCTAGATGAGATGTTTACAAACAATTCATCCAGAATCTGAATTGCAGTTGAAAATGTCTATTATTTTCTACTACTTGTTCCATCCGTTTTGGGTGTTTCGTGCTGAGGTATGGGCAGAACTCTCCAAACACTGTGGCTGTGTTAACAAACTACAAGAAATAAAAAGGAGATGGAATAGCGAGCGACTTTGTGACACGTTTGGGAGATGGAAGCAGCTCAGGGGTGGGGAAGATGCAAAGTGCCCCTTTCCCGTGTGATATTGAGTGTCACGTCAAGAAATACAAACAGGGAGATGGTGCTGATGGTTTTCTCTATAGGCACTCTCATCCCTATATCTCTACACCTCTCCTTGTTACAAAACTACAAAATTAATTTGCTTTTTTTCTTTTTTTCTTTTTTTTTAATAAAGCAAAGATCTTCTGAGACAACTCGTGAAAAGAATTTTGCCCAATCCAGAAAGTCTCAGACCTTTAAAGGTCACAATCGGTCTCAGACAAACATTGATACTATAAAGTTTTGCTAGTTGCTAGTGGCTTTACTAAAATTTTTCTTTCTGGTATATTAAAATGAAGAAGATTTTTGTAATGGTCATCACATGCTCTGCTTTCTTCACATGCATTTGCTATGCGTTTGACAGCAGTGATCAGAACGTGGCTGTGTGCAGGGGATAAACTGCCTTATAAGAATGCAGTCTTGTTTAACACGACTGATGGAAGGCAATTCACAACGCCCACAGATGCCTTTATAATAAATCAGAAGTAACCATCTAGAACAGCTGCCCAATTTAAAGCTCTCCACTTGGAGTCTAAGTGGCCTCCTTCACTTAGTGCTCCATTCTGCCTCTCTGTTAAGAACAAAGGTTATCGCACTGCGTAGCCAGTTAAACGGTGTTCAGCAATAGTGCCGACCAGAGTTCAAATCTGAAAATCCATCCTGCCTTCCCCCCGCTCTCACATGATGCAGCAGGGCCGGCCTCCCGGCTGCTCTGTGCGCAGGTCTCAGTGCAGCACTGCGCTGAGCGGGATTGGAGCTCTTTGTTACCAGGGCCCTTGGGCTGGCGCTCAGTGGGTGATGCAGTGCTGGCATCTCCTATCTATAACATACCCATCACAGTGCTGGGCCTGGGCTATTAAGCAATAGATAGATTAAAAAAAAAAGGATTTACATCTGTATGTTTAGACTGAGCTAGATGATGCATAGATCTGAGATAGCTCGTAACCGAGGGTTTTTTCAATCACTTTTAATCTAGGAAATAGTAAATTATATTTTAATTTACTTTCAATCTCTGAAATAGTTAATTAAAACTGCAGTCATAAAACACGTAGCCTTTGCTTCCCCTCCCCCCAGTCTTAGTGCTGTTATCAGAAGGATAACACAATTGTCCTTTAATGCTAATTGTTTATAAAC